CACTTATTTTCGTCTATTCACTCGATTATGCTCGTACACGGCTCGCTAATGACGCTAAGTCTGCAAAAAAAGGTGGCACTCGTGAATTTAATGGTCTTGTTGATGTATATAGGCAAGTTAAACTACCTATAATACTTTCAGGAAAACTTGGAAATCAGATGGCATTGGTGGTCTCTATCGTGGATTTGTAATTTCTTGTTTTGGTATTATTGTCTACCGAGGCTTTTACTTTGGCCTCTATGATACCCTCAAACCAATTTTGCTCGGCCCCGACTCTGGTATGGGATTAAGTTTCATCCTTGGATATGGTGTAACTGTCACATCGGGTCTTATTTCATATCCAATCGATACTATTCGTAGGCGTATGATGATGACATCAGGTATACCTCTCTTTATTTGCATGTTCTCGTAGGTCAGGCTGTGAAATATAGTGGTTCAATTGATTGTGCCGTCCAAATTATTAAAAAAGAGGGATTCATGTCTCTTATGAAAGGAGCAGGAGCCAACATCCTCAGAGGTGTCGCTGGTGCTGGTGTCCTTGCTGGTTTTGACGAACTCAAAGATATATACTACCAATGGCGTATAAAACGCACATAATCTCTAGAATCTTAACAAATTAGATTCCTCTTTTGTAGTATTATTTTAATAGACCAAATGTGTCTTCGGCTAGTGATGTGAATTGCACATGCTAAATTAAATCCTGCAAGGATTGAGGTTTGTCTTTTCTACTGTCTATCGTGTCTTTACCTTTTTGAAGCTGTTTCTATTTTAGCTGAGGATTGTTGTATAGAAATATTTATTCGAGAAGTTGCTAAAACTCTTGCGGATAAAACCAGCTTCTGTCCAACCTAATACTAGCTATTAATTGGTATCAATTTATCTGGTTGTTACTTTATGAAATTAGTGATTTTATCTGTCGCTTTCCCCGATATAGTTGGCTCTTAAATAATTTATTAATGAATCTATACTCCACAACAAGTCAAAAAACTTCGACCAACGTTCCACCATCAGCTGGATTTATACAAGCTTTTTAGGAACTAGCAAAATCCATGCTACCGCTATGTAATGCAGGAGAAAATAATCTCTTGCGGATCCCTGAGCTTTTTCGAAATAATAATAATACACCGCTTACCGCTGTGCTCTGGTAGGCCTAGTCGTGGATTCGCTGATAATTGTCTCATCTTTTAGGAGATATGGCGCCTCCATAATTGTTTGTCTTAAGTAGGCTTTCGTGAAACTACATGTCATGAGGATCCTCAGAATTGACCACAAGATGTTTGCTGGATCGGTGCTATTTTCTAACTTGACAATCCATTTCCCGTATGTAGGGCTGGCTATATCATGTAAAGCGTATATGCTGCTTTAATTAGCCAAGGGAGCAATATAGCCCTGTTTCTACAACAAAATGATACGTTTTCTACAAATCAGGCATTAAAAATATCAAGCT